ACTTAGGTTAGGCTAATAAAACGCTCCTCTAGTTCTAAGATCCTACAAGCAGACATCCCTAACTGATTGCTGCCAGCGACTGTAAAACTCTAGATAAGCAAGAGGCAATTTCGGTATTTTACCCATGCTTTTCAATTTAGTTCTTTCCATTTTCAATTGGGTTTCAGGATTTTCATTAACCACCTAATTCTGGATTTTAAAAAATATGTATTACTGCCAGATCACTGATAGTGCCAAAACTCAATGAAAAAGATCAAAATTATGTTTTTGCAGTGCTAAAATCCCTGTGAAGGAGTAGTTTACAGTAGTTAACAGTGTCAAATACAATTTTGTCATATGAACAACTGGTTGTTACCACAGTCACCAGCATTTTATTGTTGCACACCAACATTCACCTCGGAAATACCACTCAACGGTCCACATTGTCATTCTACTGACCATTGAAGTGGTATTTCCGAGGTGAATGCTGGTGTGCAACAATAAAACACTGGTGACTGTGGTAACAACAAGTTGTTCAAATGACAAAGTTGTCACATTGTCATTCTCCTGACGGACCGCCTCCATGGTGTAGTGGTTAGAGCGTCCGCCCCACAGAGCGGAAGGTCGCGGGTTCGATCCCCAACCGCGTCATACCAAAAGACATTAAAACATGGTACTTGTTGGTCCCTGTCTGGCGCTCGGCATTAATGGGTACAACAAGGGGAGGTCAGCTCGGAGTCAGTATAATATGTCTGAGTGGTGTATTCATGCTTCACTGCGGCTAGCACTATAAAACCAGCTTAAGTCTGGGCTAGTACAAGCAGCCGCACATACACATACACACGCATGCATGTCGTCATAAGAGCGAAATATTCTCAAGCACAACGTTAAACCAAATTTCACCTCACCTCACCTCACCTCATTCTCCTGACACTTGGAATCTGAATGCTCAGTGAGCCCTCAGAAGGTCAGACACTGGTTAATTGCACACTAGATTTTGCCGACTGACAAGCATTACAGCACAACCATATTTCATCATTTAATCTATATTTAATTAATTGTTAGCCATGGATATTTGCTTTTCCGGTCATCAAGTGTTTTCATTGATACCTCATCATGGTTCCCTGGCACCTGAAGCTGAACCCAGTGAATAGCAGCTGAGACCAATTCATCTAGGGTTTGATTGACAATATATTCTGACCGTTAATGACATCTTTCTCCAATTTGCTTGAGCAAATAACAGCTAGATAATTTGCAATCTTACTTCTGACCAACCATGCCATAATGTTGCTTACTATTTATGATTCAAGGTATAGTTTAGGAGAATATTTGCCATTGGACTCTACTGGATTTCTAGGTGCACCAATGAAGAATCATTTAAGAAAGTTTGACATATGATTTGCTTTCCACTGCAGTCATAAATACATTTACATTCGGATTCTTTTGTGTATAAAATGTCATGAATTTGCAAATGAATCATTTTGATTGGTTGACAGAATCTGAAACGCAAGAGGTTTAATTTGGTTTCTGAATTACACATTTATTATAAACAGAGCATAAGCATCATAATTAATGCATATATTATACTCTTGACATATGCAAAATTTGGGTGGGTGGGTCTTTATCTTTCATGTTTTACGCAAATACACAGCTTATCTAGAGCTCTGGGCTGTATCTGAGTTTGGTAAGGGTGCACTATTGTATATATAGAGTCTCACTGAAGTATTTGTAGATATCAGAAACATCAACTTGATCTGATCAAAGTTTAATACTGCAAGGTTTGCTGACCCAAGTGTAAGATGCCATTTGTTGGCCAACATCATACTTCCGACATCTTCAGTTTGTAACAGTAATAAGTGACAGAAACTGATGACGTCGGTCTGCAAACAGGGTTGAATGTTTCCAAACAATATCTCCCATGGAAGCCATTTGGATGTTAGATGGACCAAGAGATAATTCTGAAACTAAGGTAGTTTGATGACAGGTATACAGGAATATACAGGGCATGGTTCTAGAATACACTACTTGTGACAGGTCGGGTAGAGGGTCCTGTTGTCTACAATACACAGACACATCATGTGGGTGTAAGCTGATAATCTACTATTTATAACACAACTCATTACATGCTTCGTCAAACATGCGAGGATAACATCCTGTGTAGTGGACACATCAGGCTAAAGTCTGAACAATTCTGTACCCAGGAGGACGTCACGGCCCATTATGTCAGGATGGGACGACCAGTGTTTTTGTGGTTTATATGATAGTGTGTTTATCAATTGTGATCTGAGGTGTTAAACGATGTAATTGTTAGCGTCTTGCAGCCTTGGTCTATCAGGCTATCATCTGCATAGGGGATTATGTGGATTATGCCATGACAGGCCTGGATTAATCTCACATGGAATCAATACTCTGATGATATGGAATTGGTGTGATTATCACAACTGAAATCTGCCTGGCTCGATCATGTTTATTGTTGTGGGGAATTGTCACCTCCGGTGCTAGTGTTGGGTAAAGGGTGAGGAGACACAATGGGTTGGGATGGTTGTAGGGGATGTGTGTCAACAATAACATTTAGAACTGCATTTTCGTCATATTATTTGCAAGTTTTGTATATTTATTGATGAAGACATATTAACGATACCAACAGCAAATATTTTTTGTTGCATTATAAATTGAATAGAAGAATTATTATAATTGGAGCACACAATCTTGATAATAATGTTAACAAATTTATCATATTTATGTAACATGATTGATTCTGTTCACACAAGTTCATGTGTGTGGTGTTTTAACTCAATGCTGATTTCCAATGCTGCAAACCAAAATCCTGCAGTATCATGTGATGGTCATGTGACAGTGGGGGGCCCTGTTAGGGTGGGATGTTTACATGTGCAATCCATGTTCTGCTGTCTCTTTGTGCTTCCTCACTTGTGACACTTGAACATGTAGAAACATCTTATCATCTTCAGTCTGTATTCAGATTAATGTAGGATTGATAACGTCTCGTATTTATGAAGAAAATTTGTAAATCTCCATGAATAGCTCAGTGATATGACTATTAGGTTTCACTTTCCTAATGTTTCTCTGCAGTGAGTCATGTAGCCGGGTGTGTTTGACGTTGCATGGCCCCACTGTGGCATCTTTGCTGGATACAGATGAGCTGTTATCTTGTCCGTGGTTGCCCAACCTGGCAGATAGAGAGAGAGGACAGGCAGAGAGACCATTACATCTGCGCTGTTATCAGAGACACTTCCTCCCTGCTGCACAGCCATATCAGTTTATCCCCCACCCTTCCCTTCTCTCCTCCCCATATTATCAATGTCTAGCCACAAAAAGGGAAAACATTCACCCCCTGGAAGCCCAAAGTTTTGCTTGCCTTGGGGGTACCTTTAACATTTGGCTAGAGGTGAATTGACTCAGGCGTTTGCCAATGTACATCTGCCTATGATCTCTAACCCCTCCACCGTTCTACTCCCTCCACTGCCCCCTCACTTCCTCCCCCACCCACTTCCTTCCCCATCTGCAGACAAGATAGCCAGCCTCCTGTTGGACCTACAGCTCCTGTTGTCGGTAGGAACATGCCTCCTCACCTGATGACCAAGTACCCAGTGGGGAACCATGCTTCAAGTTTCACCTTCACATATCATTACTTGTGTCATGTCTGAAGCTTATCTTTCCTAATACATGGATATATACTTATCCAAGGATTGAAAGAAGTATGAATTTGAATAAAAATATCTTCAGTATGTTTGCATGGTTTGGATGGCATTGATAACAAGATGAAAACTTGACTTAAAGATCAACATGAAGAGGTGTGGTCTCAGTCTTATACAGATTAGAGGTGTATTTTCTTCAGTTCATTCATGTATGAATTGAAAATCCAAAGTGCAAACTGTATGAATTCCATAAACTACAACTTGGATTCCCCAGGTGTCCAACATGGTGAAAGATGTGCGCATTGGTGGGCGTGGATTAATTATTTACATTCATTCGGAAATGGATGTAATCAGAATGCAGGAATTACAATAAACACAATGACAATTTAAATAAAAGTGTATGAATCTTGAATGGTTTAGATACCAGATGTGTTGCTCCACAGAGATGAAAGTTCAACAGAGTTTTGGAAATGGAGAATGAACAAAGTGTGTGGTCCACATCAAATATATAGACAGAAGGAACATAACTCGAGGAAACTGTTTCAATTGATTATCTAACAATTAATCAATCGGTAATAAGTAAATCAGTCAATTTTATTGAGTTCTGTAGAGGGCACACAGTACTGATGAGAGGAGCTTCCTAGTTGTTTCTGTGACTGAAGGCTTCTTCTGGATATCAGCAGATGCTGAATCAGATCATTTTGTAAGAGTTTACTGGTAGCACATTTTGACAGATGCAGATTGATACTGACTGGATCAGCATAACAGTAATCTGATAGAGACTTCTGTCTCTCAAGAAGACAATGGTCTTCGATGTTGTCAGGCTGCTGTACTAGCATTTGTCATGGAGTGAGTGAGTGAGTTTAGGTTTACACCCTACTCAGCAATATTCCAGCTATATGGTGGTGGTCTGTAAATAATCGAGTCTGGACCAGACAATCCAGTGATCAACAGCATGAGCATCAATCTGCGCATTGGTAACCGATGACACGTGTCAACCAAATCAGCGAGCCTGACATACCGATCCCGTTTGTCACTTCCTACGACAAGCATCGGTTACTGAAGATCAGTTCTAAACCGGACCTTCATTGGTTATTTGTCATGGAAGACCTACATATTGTGTAGTTTGAATTAATGAAGAACCATTGCTATTGTGCCAGGCCTACTTGAAGTTTATGTTTCAGTTTCATCATGAACATGGACAGATAGTGTTCTGTATATATCATATGCAATGTCAGTTGTTTGCAATTAAGAACTTTTCCAAGACAAATTTAAGGATTTATTGCCACCGAGGCAAATCTTTGTGTTCATGTGTTTGCTATAAAGAGAGATAACCCCTTCTTAACTCCATCCTTATTGTTTCAGTGCCAACCCAGATCTGCTGCCGAGATCATACATTTGGCAATCACCGGAAATATCAAGATGGATCCATTCCTGGTAGGTCAACGGGCAGAGTGATACGGCGGGCATATTTGGATGCTGGGCATTTGATGGTGCAACGCGCTGATGGGCAATGGGCATTTGAGCTGGCGGGCAATGCAAGTAGCCGAGCTAAGAAAAATGCATCATTGAGCTGGTACCGGCAGTGGGTAGCTGAGCGGGCGATGGGGCAGCCGAGCTGGCAGGCAATGTGTTGTTGAGCTGGCGGGCAAATGGGCATTTGAGCTGGTCAAAGTGATGGGTAGCTGAGCTGATGCAAGGATGTGCATTTGAGTTGGTGGGCAATGGGCATTTGAGCTGGTGGGCAAATGAGTACTGGTTGTTGATGTAAGTGATGCGTATGTGAGCTTGGTGAGCAATGGGTATTTGAGTTGGTGGGCAAAGGGTATTTGAGTTGGTGGGCTGGCGAGTTGCTGGCTTGGCGTGCTGTTGAGCTGGTGGCTTGTATGCTGTTGAGTTGGTCATGGCGTGCTGCTGAGTTGGTGGGCTGGCGAGTTGCTGAGTTGGTGGGCGGCGGGTGGCATTTGAGCTGGTTGGCATGGCGAGTTGCTGAGCTGAAGCGGCTATGTGTTTTGAGCTGGTGGGCTGGCGAGTTGCTGAGCTGGTGGGCCGGGCATTTGAGTTGGCTTTACATGGCGAGCTGCTGGAGCTGGTGGGCTGGCGAGCTGTTGAGTTGGTGGGCTTATAGGTTGCTGAGCTGGTGGGCCAGAGTTGCTGAGTTGGGCGGGCTTGGCGAGTTGCTGAGTTACGGGCTGCGGCGAGTTGCTGAGCTGGGTGGGCTTATGTGTTGCTGGAGTTGGTGGGCTGGCGGGCATTTGAGCTGGTAGGCTTATGTTTATTTTGAGTTGGTTGGCAATGTATTTGAGTTGGTGGGCTGATGGGTATTTGGAGTTGGTGGACAATGTATTTGAGTTGGTGGGCGATGGGTATTTGAGTTAGTGGGCAATGGGTATTTGAGTTGGTGGACAATGTGTATTTGAGTTGGTGGGCGATGGGTATTTGAGTTGGCGGAGAGTTGTTAAATGATTGGTACACATTTAGTGATTCTGAGTTGGATTGAAGATGAAGTGCTGGAGTTTGGTGGGCAGTGATGGGTTTGATGGGCAGTGATGGGTTTGATGGCCAGTGATGGGTTTGATGGGCAGTGATGGGTTTGATGGGCAGTGATGGGTTTGATGGGCAGTGATTGGTTTGATGGGCAGTGATGATTTTAATGGGCTTGATGGGTTTGATGGGCAGTGATGGGTTTGAAGGGCAGTGATGGGTTTGATGGGCAGTGATTGGTTTGATGGGCAGTGATGGGTTTGGTGGGCAGTGATGAGTTTGATGGGCAGTGATGGATCTGATGGGCATCTGATGGGGATTGGTGGGCAGTGATGAGCTTGATGGGCAGATGGGCTCCATGGCAGCGATGGCTTGGTGGGCAGTGATGGGCTTGATGGGCAGTGATGTTTGATAAGAGTGATGGGCTTGTGGGCAATGATGGATCAGATGGGCAAGTGATGGCTTGATGGGCATGATGGCAGCATGAGTTTGATGGGCAGTGATGAGTTTGATGGGCAGTGATGGGTTTGGTGGGTAGTAGATGATTTTTAATGGTCTTACGGGTTTGATGGGCAGTGATGAGTCTGATGGGCAGTGATGGTTTGATGGGCAGTGATGAGTTTGATGGATATGACGATTCCGACGATCTGACGGAAGATACGAATGATCGAATCATCTGATATCGACGACCATCGACGATAATCGATATGACGATCGACGGATCGATCGACGGTCTGACGACGACGGAACGACATCTGATCATGACGATTTGATCGGCGGACGGTTCCAGGGCGGATGAACGACGGATACGACGGTCGACGAACGGACGACGACGGCAGTGGATAACGGATATGGCGACGGCGGATACGGCCGACACGGATGGCCGGATAACGGCGGACGAGCCGACGGATACGATGACGGATACGATGAGCCCACGGGCAGTGATGGCTCTGATACAGTGATGAGGATGAGTCTTGATGCATGATGGTCCTGATGGATGGTCTGACTACGATGGCAGTGATGGCTCCTGATGGCCGATGGGTCTGATGGCAGTGATGGCACGGTCGATGATGAGGCGGATGAGCCTGACGGCAGGATGCGGACGAGCCGGACGGCAGGATGGCCCGATGGCCGGATGAGCCCAGGCAGGACACAAGGATGGCCGACGACAGCCGACGGCAGTGATGGCAGCCGACGGCAGTGACGAGGACAGTGGACGGAAGGCCGGATGGCAGGATGAGGCGGACGGCGGACAACGGAAGGACACGGACGACGCGGATGAAATGGATGGCCACGGATACGACACGGACAAGGATGGTCGGAAAAGGATGGATGGAATGGAATGGATGGCCGGACACGGATGAAGGATGGCCCCAGTGAGCCCTGATGGCCTGGCCTGACAGTGACGGATGTGGACAATGGATAGGGTGGATGGTCTTGACGGGCAGCAATGGATGGCAGTGGATGAGCCTGAAAAGGATGGCAGTGGATGAGGTGGATGAAATGGATGGGTGGATGGCAGTGGAGGAAGGATGGCCGGATATGGCAGTGGAAGTGGATAAGGATGGAGGGTGGATGAATGGTGGAGGCAGTGGATGAATGGGTGGTGGATGGATGGTGGAGGAATGGATAATGGAAAGGATAAGGAATGGATGGATGGGTGGATGGAAGGAATGGATGGGTGGATGGAATGGCAGTGGAGGAATGGTAGTGGATAAGGATGGGTGGATGGAATGGGTAGTGGATGGAGGGACAGTGGATGGAATGGATGGGAAGGGAGTGGATGGAATGGACAGTGGATGGAATGGACAGTGGATGGAATGGACACTGAAATGGAATGGAGTGGATGGATGGAAAGATGGGGATGGGTGGTGGATGGATGGATGGGTGGATGGAATGGAATGGACAGTGGATGGATGGAAAGCATGGACGGTGGATAATGAGGGAATGGAATATATGGTGGACACGGATGGGGTGGATGGAATGGTAGTGGAATGGATAATGGATGGATGGAATAAAGGACATGGAATGGAATGGATGGTGGATGGAATGGAAATGGATGGTGGATGGATGGATATAAAGGGTGGATGGAAGGATAATAGTGGATGGAAATGGAGGGTGGAGTGGATGGAGGATATGGATAATGGTGGATGGAAATGGATGGGTGGATGGAAGGTGGAATGGATGGAATGGATGGGCAGGAAATGGATGGAATGGATGGAATGGATGGACTGGTGGATGGGTGGATGGATGGAATGGATGGAATGGATGGGCAAGGATGGGTTTGATGGGTTTGATGGGCAGTGATGAGTTTGATGGGCAGTGATGGGTTTGATGGGCAGTGATGGGTTTGGATGGGCAGTGATGAGTTTGATGGCAGTGATGGTTTGATGGGCAGTGGGATGAGGTTTGATGGGCAGTGATGGCAGTGATGAGTTTGATGGGCAGTGATGGTTTGATGGCAGTGGATGGGTTTGATGGGCAGTGATGATTGGGATGGATACTTGATGTGTTTGATGGGCAGTGATGTCGGATGGGCAGTGATGGGTTTGATGGGCAGTGATGGTTTGATGGGCAGTGATGAGTTTGATGGGCAGTGATTGGATTTGATGGGCAGTGGATGATGGCTATGATGGAGTTTGATGGGCAGTGATGGGTGTGGATGGGATGGGCAATTGATGCGTTTGATGAGCCTGATGAAGGGCGTGATGAGTTTGATGCAGGATGGGTTTGATGGGCAGTGATGAGTTTGATGGGCTTGATGGGTTTGATGGGCAGTGATGGTTTGATGATGGATGCAGTTTGATAGGTTTGGTGGGCAGTGATGGGTTTGATGGGCAGTAACGGGCAGTGATGGTGGATGGACATGATGGTTAGATGGGCAGTGATGGGTTTGGTGGGCAGTGATGGGTTTCATGGGCAGTGATGGGTTTGATGGGCAGTGATGAGGGCAGTGATGAGTTTGATGGGCAGTGATGGGTTTGATGGGTTTGATGGGCAGTGATGAGTTTGATGGGCAGTGATGGTTTGATGGGCAGTGATGGGTTTGATGGGCAGTGATGGGTTTGATGGGCAGTGATGGGTTTGATGGGCAGTGATGAGTTTGTGAAGTGATGGGTTTGATGGGCAGTGATGGTTTTGATGGGCAGTGATGGGTTTGATGGGCAGTGATGGGTTTGATGGGCAGTGATGAGGGCAGTGATGAGTTTGATGGGCAGTGATGAGTTTGATGGGCAGTGATGAGTTTGATGGGCAGTGATGAGTTTGATGGGCAGTGATGGGTTTGATGGGCAGTGATGGGTTTGATGGGCAGTGATGGGTTTGATGGGCAGTGATGAGTTTGATGGGCAGTGATGGGTTTGATGGGCAGTGATGAGGTTGATGGGCAGTGATGAGTTTGATGGGCAGTGATGGGTTTGATGGGCAGTGGTGAGTTTGATGGGCAGTTATGAGTTAGGTGGGCCTTTAGATGGACAGTGATGAGTTTGGTGGGCAGTTGAATCTGCAGTGATGAGGTGGATGGGCCAAAAGGAGTGTATGGCCATCTCATCCACTACAGTCTGCTGGGCCAACACCCTTTGGTGTTCCAGAATTCTTTGGTCGTTGGTTAAAATCCCTGAATTGTGTTTCTTAACAGTACCATACCTGTGCTTGTCGGTGTCATCAATGTGTCATACCTGTGATTGTTGGTGTCTTACCTGTGCTCATCAATGTGTCATACCTGTGCTTGTTGGTGTCATCAATGTGTCATACCTGTGTTTGTCGGTGTCATCAATGTGTCATACCTGTGCTCATCAATGTATCATACCTGTGCTTGTCGGTGTCATCAATGTATCATACCTGTGTTTGTCGATGTCATCAATGTGTCATACCTGTGTTTGTAGGTGTCTTACCTGTGCTCATCAATGTATCATACCTGTGCTTGTCGGTGTCATCAATGTATCATACCTGTGCTTGTCGGTGTCATCAATGTGTCATACCTGTGTTTGTCGGTGTCTTACCTGTGCTCATCAATGCATCATACCTGTGCTTGTCGGTGTCATCAATGTGTCATACCTGTGTTTGTCGGTGTCATCAATGTGTCATACCTGTGTTTGTCGGTGTCTTACCTGTGCTCATCAATGTATCATACCTGTGCTTGTCGGTGTCATCAGTGTGTCATATCTGTGTTTGTCGGTGTTTTACCTGTGCTCATCAATGTATCATACCTGTGCTTGTCGGTGTCATCAATGTGGTAAATGTCTGACACCTTCATCACGTCAGACTGCCCTCACACATTGTGCTGATACGCCATGATATGCATGTGAGATTATTTGCTAAACATGTCTTTTGTTTGTTGCAGTGGTAACAAAACAGAACAATGGGCGGATGTCTCCAATCAGAGCTCGCACCATGAAGGAGTACGACCAGGTGAGGCACTCAACAACAGTGGGATCATATAGAAACATGAATCATTGTGGTTTCATTGTTACGATTCACAGGCAGCCTCTCAGTTTGATATGGAGAAATATCTTCATGGCGCCATGTTTTTGAAACCTTGGTGCATCTCATTGTATCCTGATAGTGTGGAGAGCAGCATCCCACCGATATTTCTGGTAGAATGTTTGTAGACGTCATCTTGTTGAATGACAGAGATTGCGATCTCAACAAACCCAACCCCTTCCCAGGTAATGATAGACTGTATATGAGCGGTGCCTAACTTGAGCAGCACCGTTACATCAAGATAATAGCTGCTGAGGTTACAACTTTAATGTTGTGTTTTGTTGGAAGAGTTACCCCCCTTTGCTCAGGTTGCATTCAGTGCCCTTGTGTAATCACTCCAGTTGGAGCAGGTGCATTATCACGACCCTGGTGCATGGGAGATAAGAACTTCATGCTGACTGGAAATGTTATGTGTTTCAAGCATGAATGTAAGTCTGTGTTGGGATATGTCATCAGATATTGGTTATGGTAGTTTTCAAATGATTTAGACAGGTTGTGTAGCTGTAGAACATTGTTTGATCACAGAATCTGTGTCTGACAATTGAGTGGAGTCGTTCTCTGTTTCAGCAAATTGCAGAGCTGAAGAAGGAGAATTTCAGTCTGAAGCTGCGAATCTACTTCCTGGAGGAACGTATGCAGCAGAAATTTGGGGATGGGGAGGATGTCTTCAAAACAGTAAGTAGAACATTGATATTTACAGGTGCAGATAGTCAGTAGAACATTGATATTTACAGGTGCAGATAGTCAGTAGGACATTGATATTTACAGGTGCAGATAGTCAGTAGAACATAGATATTTACAGGTGCAGATAGTCAGTAGAACATTTATATTTACAGGTGCAGATAGTCAGTAGAACATTGATATTTACAGGTGCAGATAGTCAGTAGAACATTGATATTTACAGGTGCATATAGTCAGTAGAACATTGATATTTACAGGTGCAGATAGTCAGTAGTACACTGACATGTCCTGGTGAAGATAGTAAGCAGAATGGTGAAGAGAGTGAATTAAGGGCACCAGTTAGTCTAGTAACATGCTGCCTAGCTATAGTTTGTCAGTTTGTGGTGCACATCTTCCTCAAATAATCTCTTGGAGAATGTCAACAAAACTGTGGTGTATACAGATGTGTTGTTCCTCCAGTCTTGTAAGTTTATTCTTCACATTGTGGAAAAATCTGCAAATTCCTTCCCTATAACATGTATTTGTTGTTTCGTTGCTGCTTACTGGTCGGGGATGAAATGAGAGAGGTAATGTATATTGGATGTAGTCTGTCAGATTCGTAATAGATGTATGAGGCAACTTAATACTATGGAATGTTGGGCCCGGTGACTTGGTTAATGTCAATCATTGGATTGTCTGAACCATCATCAATTATTGACAGGCTGTTGTCATATAGCATGAATATTGCCAAGAGTGGTACTAACAAAGAAATATATGACCTATGGACACAGAATATTATTTGATTCTGAAAATACCAGCACCTTGAGCATCTACTTGTTGCTTGGATGTGTGCGCTATATATACATATCCTATAATAATAAATAATAATAATTAAATATTTTCCAAATTCAAATATTTAGTCCTCCCTAGTATTCATTAACAACAATTTAGTTGATAAGATTTCCTTGGTTTCTCTAGGAAGTCAGTGATGATTACTACATGTATAATAAGTGTTGTGATTCTCTGTTGCACTGTGTTCTGTAGACATGGTACCAGAGCTCTGGATGAACTGCGTATCTGCATACATTAGGCAAACATAATGTTCAAACCTCAATTACTTTGAGTGTTATTGCATATGAGTACATCGAATGAGTATGTTTTATACTAAACTAATTTTAAGAAAGGTTGTGCACATAAGTTGTCCATGTTGTGTCAGAGAAAATATTCAATAAAATTGAGTTACTATTTGGCAAGTAAAATATATTTGGTTATTCAATGAAAAGTTAGGATATCCAATTAAAATGAAAACATGTGAGTACCTACTCAGTGGAGCTCTGGGTACTGTGTTCTGTAGACCTGTGACTGTGTTCTGTAGATGATTGTGGTGTTTTAATTTAAGTAAATGTATACACATGGATTTCTTTGTTGTCAGTGGTGAGTATATTGGTGAATTTGTTGTACATTGTTGGTGTATGTTTACTCTAATGTACAGTGTTGAGGTACAGGTTGGGTTGTGGTACAGAGTGTGTGTTGTGCTGTTGTAGAACATAGAGCTGAAGGTCCAAGTGGAGAGTCTGAAGAAGGAGCTAATGGACAAACAGGAGCTGCTCAAGAAGGCCAGGTGAGAAGGGTGACTGGTCAGCCAGGTGTTGAGATGGAGTCGACAAGGTGGGGAGTGGTCAGCAGGGTGGTGAGTGGTCAGCCAGGTGTTGAGATGGGTCAGCAGGGTGGGGTGTGCAGTCAGCAGGGTGGTGAGATGGGTCAGCAGGGTGGGGTGAGCAGTCAGCAGGGTGTTGAGATGGGTCAGCAGGGTGGGGTGAGCAGTCAGCAGGGTGTTGATGGGTCAGCAGGGTGGGGTGAGCAGTCAGCAGGGTGTTGAGATTGGTCAGCAGGGTGGGGTGAGCAGTCAGCAGGGTGTTGAGATGGGTCAGCAGGGTGGGGTGAGCAGTCAGCAGGGTGTTGAGATAGGTCAGCAGGGTGGGGTGAGCAGTCAGCAGTCAGCAGGGTGGGGTGAGCAGTCAGCAGGGTGGGGTGAGCAGTCAGCAGGGTGGGGAGACTGGTCAGCAGGGCGGTGAGATGGGTCGGCAGTCGCGGAGTGGTCAGCAGGGTGTTGAGATGGGTCAGCAGGGTGGGGAGACTGATCAGCAGGGTGGGGAGTGGTCAGCAGGGTGTTGAGATGGGTCAGCATGGGATGAGCAATCAGCAGGGTGGGGTGAGCAGTCAGCAGGGTGTGGAGACTGGTCAGCAGGGTGGGGTGAGCAGTCAGCAGGGTGGGGAGACTGGTGAGCACGGTTGTGAGATGGGTCGGCAGGGTGGAGAGTGGTCAGCAGGGCAGGGAGATTGGACAGAGTGCTTGAAAGATGGATAGGGGGTGAGGGGATAGGTGAGAGGCAGAGAGATGGGTTTATTCTTTCACTGACAGTTGTGTAATAATTTTGACAGTTTAGTTATGAATTTTTTAAAGAAAACTTTCAGTGTATAAGAATTCTCCCTGTTATATCAGGAATTATACACTGTGTTGACTATTCTTTTATTTGTGTGTGGTGAATACTTTGATTACATGGTAGTAAGAGAAGAAATAATAAGATGATGAAAGCAGACTTGGTGTAGAAGTTATTTTCCCTCTGTGCAGCACGGCCATGGAGAGCCTGACCAGCAACCATGAAACAGAACTGAACCAGATCCGCAGTCAGATGCAGCAGGAGAGGAATAGGGTAGGTCACTCACACAAGCACCTGCTTCACCACCACATCATCTAAACCAGCTTTGGGGCTAGAATTGCCTCGCTCCTCGTTTAATATTCACTGCATGGTTGACATGACTGTTGCTGATGTTGCAGGAGTCAGTGCCGCTGTTGGAGGAGTTGCGAGAGACGCAGCAGAAGATGAGGATGATGGAGCATGAGCTTCAGCTCCACATGGATTCTCTCAACACAGCACACGCCGCCGCCCACAAACACACTCAGGAAGTACAGGTCAGTAATGCCACACACATACAATAAATCCACCGCCGCCCACAAACACACTCAGGAAATACAGGTCAGTATCGCCACACACATACAATAAAACCTCCGCCGCCCACAAACACACTCAGGAAGTACAGGTCAGTAATGCCACACACATACAATAAAACAACAGGTAGATCAGTATGAAGTGGTGTTGATTTGTTTCTGTAATGAGATACAAAAGTAAAGATACAAAAGTGTATTTAAGCTTGAAGTTATTGTAATTCTTGTTTGCAGAAACTCCAAGAGATGGTGGATGCCAAAGAAAAGTAAGTGTTGTAGAGGATGTTCATTTTTCCAGTTTCAGTCATAGATTTGAGATGACCTCTGTGTCCAGAAAAAACATCTTTGTCTGTTGTGCATATGTATAAAGGTTAAAAACGGCTGTTATATTTGCTAGCACTTCATTTATCATAGATTATTATCCTACTTGAAGAGACATGAGCATGTCTGCCACTGTTGTGATGGTGATCAAGTATGTACTTCTGCTACAGAGACATAGGGGAACTTTCTGGGAAACTGGAGGCAGAAGCTGAACGAGCACATCAGTTGGACACCAGACTGTCAGAGACTGGCCATGAGAGACAGGACCTGCAGGGCAGACTGGACCATCTGCAGAAGGAGCTTGACCGACGTGACCGAGACATGCTGGTGAGTAGGTGGGCGGGGCAGACATGTTGGTGAGTAGGTAGGCGGGGGAACATGTTGGTGAGTAGGTGGGGGGCAGACATGTTGGTGAGTAGGCGGGGGTGGGGCAGACATGGTGGTGAGTAGGTGGGTGAGTAGGTGGGCAGACATGTTGGTGAGGTGGGTGGGGCAGACATGTGGTGAGTAGGTGGGGCAGACATGTTGGGTGAGTAGGTGGGTGGGGCAGACATGCTGGTGAGTAGGGTGGGTGGGGCAGACATGCTGGTGAGGTGAGTAGGCAGACATGTTGGGAGTAGGTGGACAGTAGGTGGGTGGGGGCAGACATGTTGGTGAGTAGGTGGGTGGGGCAGTATGTTGGTGGGTGGGTGGGCAGACATGCTGGTGAGTAGGGGGTGGGCAGACATGTTGGTGAGAGGTGGGTGGGGGCAGACATGCTGGTGAGTAGGTGGGTGGGGCAGACACATGCTGGTGAGTAGGTGGTAGGGGCAGACATGCTGGTGAGTAGGTGGGTGGGGGCAGACATGTTGGTGAGTAGGTGGGTGGGGCAGACATGTTGGTGAGTAGGTGGGGGAGGGGGCAGACATGTTGGTGAGTAGGTGGAAGTGGGGCAGTCATGTTGGTGAGTAGGTGGGCGGGGCAGTCATGTTGGTGAGTAGGTAGGTGGGGCAGTCATGTTGGTGAGTAGGTGTGCGGGGCAGTCATGTTGGTGAGTAGGTGGGTGGGGCAGTCATGTGGTTGGTGAGTAGGTGGGCAGGGCAGACATGCTGGTGAGTAGGTGGGGGCAGTCATGTTGGTGAGCAGGTGGGTGGGGCAGTCATGTTGGTGAGTAGGTGGGTGGGGCAGACATGCTGGTGAGTAGGTGGTGTGGGGCAGTCATGTTGGTGAGTAGGTGGGCGGGGCAGACATGCTGGTGAGAGTAGGTGGGGGCAGACATGTTGTTGAGTAGGTGGGAAGGGCAGTCAAGTTGGTGAGTAAGTGGGCCGGGCAGACATGCTGGTGAGTAGGTGGGCAGGGCAGACCTGTTGGTGAGTAGGTGGGGGGGCAGACATGCTGGTGCATAGGTGGGCAGGGCAGACATGTTGGTGAGTATGTAGGCGGGGCAGTCATGTTGGTGAGCAAGTGGGCAGGGCAAAAATGCTGGTGAGTAGGTCGGCAGGGCAGACATGTTGGTGAGTAGGTGGGTGGGGCAGACATGCTGGTGAGTAGGTAGGTGGGGAGACATGCTGGTGAGTAGGTGGGCATAGTAAACATGTAGATGTGTAGGTGGGTGTGGCAGACATGCTGGTGAGTAGGTGGACATAGTAAACATGTAGATGTGTAGGTGGGTGTGGCACACTTGTTGGTGAGTCAGGCAGACCGGAACGGTTTGTAGGGCATGTTCTCAGACCAACAGGTAAGGTTTGCAGGGCATGTTCTCAGACCGACAAATCTTAGTAGATGTATGGAGGAAACACGTGTATGTTGTCAAAGTGATCGGACACGTGAATAAATAGGCAGGAGGGTGGGTCATGACAGACACATGTGACTGGATGGGTGGGTCAGACATTAGGGTAGTTATATTAAACAGGGTTGTTGGTTGGTCAAAAGGAAGGCATGAATAACAGCAAGGAGTGGGTCAATTGAGAGTGGCGACACACATTGGTGACTTACCAAGCATGCAATCATCCCTTGCATGGTCTGATCCCTGTTCCAAGAGAACGTACTTCAGCATGTGACCCGCATGCTGTAACACACCATTTGATTGCAGGTAAGCTATTTGAATGTTGGGTCCAGTTACGTCTCTGAACTTCTTGGTACATGAAACGTGTGAAACTAAATCAGCTTTTGTTGTTTCATCTAACTATTGTGCATGTATTGATGTTGTAGTGGCAGCTTCACAGCAGACTCTGTACAGAGATGTAGCTACTGGATGATGTAGGGCTGATATAGATAACTGATATATATACATATATACTCACACACACACACACACACACACACACACACACACACACACACACACACACATACATACATACATACATTTGTATAGCGCCGATATCCATCTCAGCTGCTCAGAAGAGCTTTGTTTTTTCCATCGATCACTGGATGCCAATCTCAACGGCATGTCGTATTATCAATCTCAACTCCCTGGGGATCATACAACTTGCAGGGTCACACTTTGTCAATAAGAGCGATATAAGACATATGTATTGTCTATCAGAACAGATCACAGAACCATGCAAAGTAGCATATATACTATATTCTCTTGAGAAATGTGTACTCTTTTTCTTAAGAAATCTGGGGGAAACAGGTGTCTAGAGGGTCAGGTTGTATCATCAGCTGCTGTGAAGCCTGTCTCTGTGTTGTGACTGTGAATGTTTTCTTGCATGCAGCAACTGTCTAGCGCCCTGAAGGAAGCCCGCACTGTGGACTCCGACTCCTTCTTGGCTCAGAACCACCTCCAGGTTGGTCAACCCGTCCAGGCCCCACTGTAAATTATATCGGTCACCACCCATTAACGAGTGTGCCTTGGGCAATGAAATGAAAACTAACACTTTTCCTTTTCTTATTGAATAATAAGGATTTTGAAAACCAAAGCAAAAAGTTAATAACTTTTGATATGGACCAACAGCCCTCCTTTGTAGAAGTTGAGATTATGTGTAATCCCTCTGTATGATACCTTCTCCTTCATCTTCTGTGATGTATCCTTAGTTCAGTAGCTCCTGTGTTTGGGACTGTGTGAGAGGACTTGGTATGTTGCCTTGCTATCCCTCTGTACCTTCTGTTGCATGCCTTCCTTTATCTGCTGACCCCTCATTGTTCTATGGTTTACCAGGAATGTCGAAGGATATTTCATGTTGTCTTCAGCCACAATGTCTTCTATTTGCAAGAATGTTTTGGTCGCCATTGCTCAGTGGTTCCTGATTTTATTACAGAAGGGAATGGTGGTTTGGTTCTGTGAACTGACAGTGTTGTGTTGCAGGATGTGGTGGACGACCAACAAGAGAATCTGGGCAAACTCCAGGACAGGCTGGACAACCTGCAGAGTCAGTTACAGGATAAAGACAACACCATAGGGGTAGGTCCATACCCATGTAAGCTGTAAGGGTAGGTCACCATAGGGGTGGATACCCATGTATGCTGTAGGGGTAGGTCCATACCCATGTAAGCTGTAAGGGTAGGCTGTAGGGGTAGGTCCATACCCATGTAAGCTGTAAGGGTAGGTCACCATAGGGGTAGGTCCATACCCATTACCCATATGAGCTATAGGGGTAGGTCCATACCCATTACCCATATAAGCTATAGGGGTAGGTCCATACCCATGTATGCTGTAGGGCCTGGGCCATACCCATGTAAGCTGTAGGTCACCATAGGGGTAGGTCCATACCCATAACCCATATAAGCTATAGGGGTAGGTCCATACCCATGTAAGCTATAGGGGTAGGTCCATACCCATGTAAGCTTTAGGGCCAGGGCCATACCCATGTAAGCTGTTGGGGTAGGTCACCATAGGGGTAGGTCCATACCCATGTAAGCTGTAGGGGTAGGTCCATACCCATGTAAGCTGTTGGGGTAGGTCCATACCCATGTTAGCTGTAGGGGTAGGTCATCATAGGGGTGGAAACCATACCCATGTAAGCTTTAGGGCCAGGGCCATACCCATGTAAGCTGTTGGGGTAGGTCACCATAGGGGTAGGTCCATAGGGGTAGGGCCATACCCATATGGGGTAGGTCACCATAGGGGTAGGTCCATACCCATGTAAGCTGTAGGGGTAGGTCCATACCCATGTAAGCTGTTGGGGTAGGTCCATACCCATGTTAGCTGTAGGGGTAGGTCATCATAGGGGTGGATACCCATGTAAGCTGAAGGGGTAGGTCCATACCCATGTAAGCTGTTGGGGTAGGTCCATACCCATGTAAGCTGTTGGGGTAGGTCACCATAGGGGTAGGTCCATACCCATGTAGTAAGCTGTAGGGGTAGGTCCATACCCATGTAAGCTGTAGGGGTAGGTCACCATAGGGGTAGGGCCATACCCATGTAAGCTGTAGGAGTAGGTCACCATAGGGGTAGGTCCATACCCATGTAGGCTGTAGGGGTAGGTCACCATAGGGGTAGGTCCATACCAATGTAAGCTGTAGGGGTAGGTCATCATAGGTGTGCTTACCCATGTAAGCTGTAGGGGTAGGTCATCATAGGGGTGGATACCCATGTAAGCTGTAGCGATAGGTGATAAAAACTCTGGATGCTGACAGTACAATTCTTTTTTCAGAAACTTGAAGATGCCTTGAGGGACAAAGACGAGAAAAATAAGGTGAGGTTATTTCTCTACTTCAGCATGGTTGTAGCAGACAATGTCATCATCCCTGTGTGGATTACACTGGGGACCAGTGTTTGGGATGAGAGGTCCTAGTGTCCCCTCGTGTCCTATTATATCACTCTTGTAAGGAATCCTCCTGAAGGGAGTTCCTGTGACAACAGCTATTAAAAGGACATCTCCAGGAATCATTATGGATACTGGGGTGGTGAGGTAGCATAGTGGTTAAAGCGTTCGCTCACACAGGCCCGGGTTGATTCCCCACATGGGTACAATGTGTGAAACCCATTTCTGGTGTGATGTTGCTGGAATGTTGCTAAAAGTGTAAACCCATACTCACTCACTCACTCACATTATGGATACTTGACAGGCTCGGTGTAGATTTTGTATAAGTGATATCAATCTCTGAATTATCTTAATGACATGATGTATGACTGAGACTTTTCTTTGGGTCAGGACCTGGAAAATAAACTCCGCCCTCTGGAACGAGACATCAGCCGTCTTGAGGAGAACAGTCTCAAGAGGGACAAGACCATACAGGGGCTGGTGGTCGCCCTGCACGACAAGAACAAGGAGGTGAGGAGTGGCGGAGGGATATGGTGTAGGGATAAGATGTGTACACCTGTATGTTGTATGTTCCAACCCTTGTCTGGTATTGTGTTCCAGCAACCTGGAGGAGCACCTGCCGAGGTGTACACCTACATGTTGTATGTTCCAACCCTTGTCTTGTGTTGTATTCCAGCAACCTTGAGGAGCACCTGCTCAGGTGTACACCTGTGTGTTGTATGTTGCAACCCTTGTCTTGTGTTGTATTAAAGCAACATTGAGGAGCACCTGCTCAGGTGTACACCTGTGTGTTGTATGTTGCAACCCTTGTCTTGTGTTATATTAAAGCAACCTTGAGGAGCACCTGCTCAGGTGTACACCTGTGTGTTGTATGTTGCAACCCTTGTCTTGTGTTGTATTAAAGCAACCTTGAGGAGGACCTACTGAGGTGTACACCTGTGTGTTTTATGTTGCAACCCTTGTTCTGTTGTAGTCGGCCACCCTGGAGGAGCACCTGCTGAAATCGGAGGAAGACTTGAAGAAACTCCGAGCAGAGCTACATGAAGCCAGGATGGCAAGACACCAGGTAAGGGAGGTAACCCCTGTATGACTACAACAGCACACACATACACGTAATAACTTCAATGTATAAACTTGCTGACAATGGGAGGTAACTCCTACCTACTTAGTTTGCAGTGTTTGCCTGTTTGAAGAGACGTTGATGCATGGCTTATGTTATGTCATTATTCATTGGAATCATATTTTGTTGTGAAGATGTTTGAATACTTTTATTTTATTCATTCTCATTTGTCATTAAGCATGATTAAATATTTTATGTTAAAACACAGATAAAGTAGACAGCATGTTTTTCATGATTATTTCATGCTCATAGTATATCATTTGAGGCAATGTTTAACTGACCGTAATGAGCATGATAAACAATATTTTGAAACTTGTTACCATCTTATATCCTTATGGAATATCTGAGCCAAATGAACCCCATCAAATTGAAATATTTCCATGGCATACAAGGTGAGATTACTCTCCCCTACTATCAGCATCCATTCAATATTTGGTGGCAGTTGTCTCCCCTTCCCATCGTTGCCAGATGGTCAGTACAACATTCCGTGTGTGGATTATGTATATATTGCTGTTGATTGTGTTGACTAACTTTGGTTGTGTTGACTTGTGTTGCGTGTTTTGTGTGTCATCAATAACCAGGCCGAGGAGACCTTTCAGACAGACATGGACGGCACTGATGCTAAAATAGCCCGGCTTGAGCAAACTCTACGAGAAAATGAACTCCAGCTTGAGGTATAACTTGTTGCAGGAGATTGGTCTCAACTCCAAGTGGGCAGTATAGATAATGTATCATGCTAAAATATGAGTGATTGAGTTTTTTACGCCGCACTCAGCAATATTCCAGCTATATGGCTGCGGTTTGTAAATAATCGAGTCTGGACCAGAAACCAGTGATCAACACATGCTAAGATAGAATAAAGGAGGCAATATAGATGGTGTATCATGCTAAGATAGAATAATGTGGTAAATATAGATGGTATATCATGCTAAGATAGAATATAGTGGGCAGTAGCGGGTGTTTATTGTAGCAAGATGAAACTTACGAAATACCAGTGAGTGAGGCATTGGTTTCTGGAGTTACAGAAGAGTGAGTGAGTGAGTTAATATTTAACGTCACATCGGCAATATTTCAGCTATATCGTGACGAAGTTACAGAAGATGGTGATGCTAGCATGTGTATTCACGATGTATTAGTTATACATCTCATAGTGTAGAATATAGTGAACCTGCTGTGACATGTGTCAAGAAGTTAGGAATCATGATAATGTTGAGCTTCCAATTACACTTAATTCTAAAATAGGTAGTTTAGTGTTGTATTTTAACAAGTAACCCCTTTGTTGTATAACGTTCACAGTGTTAGTTTATGTATCAGAGCTATTCTTTCTGTCAGCGCTATTCCTTTCTTGCCAAGAGGGAGTATCGCTGAATAGTTTGGCTCTACACCTTGTTTCTGGTTGGGTTGTCAAGACAGGAAATATTCTTTTTGGGTTTGAAGTTTGGTTAGGTATGAAGTAGAATACAGATAAAGTCAGTGTTAGTTTCAGTGTGCATGTACAGTGCAGGTTTGATATTCCATCCATCAGCGTATTCTGCATGGCGACATCTTGTCTAACCTTGTTGTGCAGGGTCACACAATGAAGACCCTTCTTCTGTCGTGTTGCCCTCACACAGCTGGAATACAGCTGACAGTGGAAGCAAGCAAGCACACATGCAGATAGTCCTGGGTGCCGTTGTACAAAACAACCTAGCGCTAAGTCTACCTTAAGTCTATGTTAAGGTATGGGAGTTACGGTCACCTTAGCGCTAAGGCTACCTTAAGTCTATGTTAAGGTAACGGTCACCAGCTACCTTAAGTCTATGTTGTATGGGAGTTACGGTCACCTTAGCGCTGAGACTACCTTAAGTCTATGTTAAGGTATAGGAGTTACGGTCATCTTAGCGTTAAGATCGCTTTGTACAACAGCACCCTGATTGTTGAAGGTCACTTTCTGTCACCAGCTGTGTGTGAACTGTGGTGTTTTTGCTTGTAGAATCTGATGCGTGCTCTGGGCAAGAAGGATGGTGAGCTGGGCAACTTCAAGGACTTGCTGGGCAAGGCAGAGAATGCCCTCCAACAGAGTGAAAAGTCCCTCGAGGTGAGGTTTCCTTATATAAGGACAGTAGTTGTGATGTGGTCTGTTCTGCTGGAGTAATACAGAGGAACATGGTTGGGATGAGTGAAGGATGGGTGGAGAGAAACAACAGTAGGTGGTCAGAGAGAACGAGTGAAGGTAGAGGATGATAGAGACAAGGAGTGGTCAGAGTGTGTGTGTGTAGGAGTGTGGGGATGCTCCATGAGATAGTATAACTATCCTTGATGTGCAAAAAGGTTCGAGCTAAGTGAGTGGGTATGTTTCAGACTCTCCAGGAGCAGCTGCAGCAGGAGAGAGACCAGGCCCAGGACAGACTGGACGGACAGGCACATCACTACAAGGTGAGATATTGTCTAACGTGGTGGACAGGCACATCACTACAAGGTGAGATATTGACTAACGTGGTGGACAGGCACAGCACTACAAGGTGAGATATTGACTAACGTGGTGGACAGGCACATCACTACAATGTGAAATATTGACTTACATGGTGGACAGGCACATCACTACAAGGTGAGATATTGACTAACGTGGTGGACAGGCACATCACTACAATGTGAAATATTGACTTACATGGTGGACAGGCACATCACTACAATGTGAAATATTGACTAACGTGGTGGACAGGCACATCACTACAAGGTGAGATATTGACTTACATGGTGGACAGGCACATCACTACAATGTGAAATATTGACTTACATGGTGGACAGGCACATCACTACAAGGTGAGATATTGACTAACATGGTGGACAGGCACAGCACTACAATGTGAAATATTGACTTACATGGTGGACAGGCACAGCTCTACAAGGTGAGATATTGACTTACGTGGTGGACAGGCACAGCTCTACAAGGTGAGATATTGACTTACTTGGTGGACAGGCACAGCTCTACAAGGTGAGATATTGACTTACATGGTGGACAGGCAAGTCAAGGTGAGATTTTAGGTGGAACAACTCCATTTTGATATTTCTCCATTAGCTGTGGGTTTGTGCTAAACAAGGGACTAAGCGAGGACAGAGAACCACTACTTGCTCACAGCTGAAATAATCATTGTGATGAAGGATAGATCAGCTGATAGCACCTGCTGTACCTACTCTCTGTTGCAGCGTCTGCTGGATGATGCACAGAACGAGGTGAAGATGAAGGGAGACTTGCTGAAGGTCCTGGAGGATAGACTAAAGGACAAGGACAAGCAGCTGCAGGAGTATGTCGGACTTCTGTCCCAGGACGGCCAGGTAGGTCACAGAACAATGATTTGGTAGAAGGGAGGGGGGGCTTTCAGGTCTTCTGTCGTATTTGATCCTTGGGACCCCATACATATGTAGCTAATAACATTGCTAATAATAAAGACAAATAATGACAATACTTGGTGACAATATGGGGTATCAAGAAGAACAGTTACGTCTAGGGTCGGTGGGCCAGATTAAGTGTGATGGAAGGATACAGTCCATACATGGACGTGGAGCCACAATTTCATCTAATGCAGGGCTCCAGATAATTTTTCAACATCAGGAGTACGTACTCCTTATTTTTGCAATATAAGAGTACTGGAAAAACTTAAGAGTACATTTAGAGTACTGAGTGGAATTTTGCGGATCGGTAATCTTGTGTTTCGTTTCATATATGCACCACAACATTGCTACTCTTGTGTAAACAGGTCAATAAACAATAAAACAATACTTTTTCAGATAAATACGTCTGTAAATGATTCTAAGACAGTGCAGCAATGCAGTGGTCCGTATGTGCTACGTTTTCTAAATTAATTCCTACTGTATCTTGCATATTTTTTATCCGTACATACGCCGATACGGCCCTTATCTGGAGCCCTGTAATGTTATGTTCCAGATTGCTGTGCTATAATGATGTGTATGACTTCCTGTACCAGTATGCACTAACTGCCAGTCTATACCGAGATGCCATGTCTCAGTTTATGGTTGACACACCACTCAGACACAGTGTACTGACACCATGGCATCAGTCATTTCCTCCTTGCCTTGTAGAGCAGTATACACGACAACACCAGATACCATCGCTCAGATCTCTTCAGTATAATGAGGTCCACTCGGTCCATGGTACCACAGAGGAGATAGTGTTATTGATGGACACGGATGTGGCTTCAGTGTTGTGAGGGTCTTGTTGCGTTGTAGGTTGGTGTGGGCGACCTGCACAAGGCTCTGGCAGAGAAGAACCAAGAGTTGAGGAACTTGAAGCAGAAGTTGGCAGGGCATGACGCCGACTTGGAGGACACCAAACGCCAGCTGAAGGCAGCAGAAGACGCCCTGCAGGTGAGTTTGGTGTTTGGAGGTGTTGCATTTCCCGTTTGGGATTAGTGTGAAGCCCATTTCTGGTGTCCCCTGCCGTGATGCTGCTGGAATATTGCTAAAAGCGGCGTAAAACCAAACTCAGTCAGTCAGTCAGTCGTTTGGGATTTTCCCAACAACCTATGAGATAGACGTAGAAAGCAGCCTATGGATTTAGGGGTTATTTATAGATTATAGTTGATATTTTGTCAACGTACTCCCATGGTTTGGAACCCGTGAAGATCTGGTTTAGAATTGGTCTTCAGTAACCCAAGCTTATCGTAAGAGGCGAATAAAGGGGTCGAGTGGTCAGGCTTGCTGACTCACATGTCATCATATCCCAATTGGGTAGATTGATGCTCATGCTGTTGATCACTAGATTGCATGGTCCAGACTTGATTATTTACAGACTGCTGCTATATAGCTGGAATATTGCTGAGTGTGGTGTAAAACAACAAACCAAACCCATGATGTGGTTTGTTACTAGTAATATCAAGCTATTCAAGCTAGATTATTTAGGGCGGTGGGGTAGCCTAGTGGTTAAAGTGTTGGCTCGTCACCCCGAAGACCCGGGGTTCGATTCCCCACATGGGTACAATGTGTGAAGCCCATTTCTGGTGTCCCCTGCCGTGATATTGCTGAAATATTGCTAAAATTGACGTAAAACCAAACTCACTCACTCACTCACTCAACTGGAATAGTGTTCAGTTGGGATTTCACAACATAAATTTACATTCAGAAGAGTCATTGTTATATTGACAAGAGAACTAAACCTCTTTAAACTGTTTCCTCATTGAGGAAGTCAAACAAACTGTTATTACTTAGGATGTTTGACAATTAGTAATATATTGTAGTCACTTTGGTTATGAGGCATAAACCTTAAATCTCCCATCCATGATGTCTATGTGTGGTGCACAATGATGATGATAATGATGTGGTTGCAGGCACTTGATGGTGAGACAGGGGACAGAGACAGTTACGTCCGACAACTGACAGGACAACTCAGGACAGCACAGCAGGAACTTGAGGTGGGTGGATGTCTCAATCAGATGTGTTAGATATCTACCAGGGTTCTTATCTGTACTTTGAAACAATTCATTTAGCTTCTCTCAGTCCTCAGGGCAGTGGGGTAGCCTAGTGGTTAAAGCGCTCGCTTGTCACGCCGAAGACCCAGGTTCAATTCCCCACATGGGTACAATGTGTGAAGCCCATTTGTGGTGTCCCCGCTGTGATATTGCTGGAATATTGCTAAAAGCAGCGTAAAACTAAACTCACTCACTAACTCACTCTGTTAGTCCTCACAGGATTAAATGTGACAAAGTACGTGATAAGACCAAAACATGCCTTTGTTGTCCTGTCTCTTGCACTTGATGTGTTTTGATGGTCAGTTGACATGGTGTTTGGGCTGTGGGGTAGCCTAGTGGTATAGCATTGGCTTGTAATACTCACTCACTGAATGACATGGTATTGTCAGGCTGCTGTGGACGGTCAAGCAAGGATGATGGAGGACAAGCGGAGGGCTGTCAAACACCTGGAGGCACTATTGGCTGACAAGGATGCAGCACTACAGGTGAGTCAAGCTTTAGCCGGGTCACATAGTACCAGAGGTGGGTCACAGGGTCACATAGTACCATAGTACCAGAGACGGGTCACAGGATCATTTTCACTCTGAGTGTGTCACATGGTCATGTGGCATTGAAGTTGGGTCATGTGGCACTCTAGCTGGATCATGTGGCATTCTAGGTGGGTCACAGGGTCATGTGAGCTCTTTAGTTGGGTCACAGGGTCATGTGGCTCTTTAGTTGGGTCACAGGTCATGTGGCATTCTAGGTGGGTCATGTGGCATTCTAGGTGGGTCACAGGGTCATGTGGCACTCTAGCTGGGTCATGTGGCTCTCCAGGTGGGTAACAGGGTCATGTGGCACTCTAACTGGGTCATGTGGCTCTCCAGGTGGGTCACAGGGTCATGTGGCACTCTAGCTGGGTCATGTGGCTCTCCAGGTGGGTCATTTGGCACTCTAAGCTGGGTCATGTGGCTCTCCAGGTTCCAGGTGGTTACAGGGTCATGGTGGGTCAGCTGGGTCATGTGGCACTCCCAGCCAGGTGGGTCATGTGGCACTCTAGCTGGGTCATGTGGCACTCTAGCTGGGTAACAGGGTCATGTAGCATTCTAGGTGGGTCATTGTGGCATTGTAGGTGGGTCACAGGGTAATGTGGTGGCACTCTAGCTGGGTAACAGGGTCATGTGGCATTCTAGGTGGGTCACAGGGTCATGTGGCCTTCTAGGTGGGTCATGTGGCTCATTAGTTGGGTCACAGGGTCATGTGGTTCTCGAGGTGAGTCACAGGGTCATGTGGCCTTCTAGGTGGGTCATGTGGCATTTTATCTGGGTCATTTAGCATTCTAGCTAGGTCATGTGGTATTCTAGCTGGGTCCCAGGATCATGTAGTATTCTAGCCCAGACATGGGATAATGTGGTACTCAAGGTGGGTCACAGGGTCTTGTGGTATTCTAGATGGGTCACAGGGTCTTGTGGTATTCTAGATGGGTCACAGGGTATTGTGGTATTCTAGATGGGTCACAGGGTCTTGTGGTATTCTAGATGGGTCACAGGGTCTTGTGGTATTCTAGGTGGGTCACAGGATCTTGTAGCACTCTAGACTTGCCACAGGGTTACATTACACTTCAGGTGGCTGTTTGCAATAAGGTGATTGACAGAACAGACAAAATTTATACAATCTAATCTCAGTTTACACAATCTAGATCAAAACATTGCTAAACACAATTTAAAGGAGTTGTGTTCTAAAAGCTGTATTTATTTTGTCATCCATCGACTTCTAAGAAAGCCTGTCAAACAATTGAATAAAAGAGCCTGAAAAGTGTTTGTATTGTTCCCAGGATGCACTGGAGTACAACGGTGGTGATGGCAGTCGTCTCCGTCTTCTCCGGGATCAGCTGCGAGAGAAGGACAAGCTCCTTGAGGTGAGTGACAGGTTCACTGGACACTGTCCAGGGCGTCCATGATAGACAAGCAGCGGATAGCCTGAGGCCTTAACACCACAAACTGGGTTGAGGTCCGTATGGTATGTGTAAAGTGTAGCCATGGTATCCTCATTGAGTTGTTTGGCAGCTTGACTCCTGAGAGTTTCTAGGACATGAGTCCTGCCCCACAACGTAGCACATGTGACACATGTGGTCTCACCTTAGGCAAGTGAGTTTGTTAAAAATTGTCTCTGTTCACCCAGCAGGAAAATGGGTACCCGGTGGAAAAAGTCATATGACTAAAACCTTCTAGCGCCTAACAGGCAGCTTGGGTTATCCGGGGTAATAATGTGCTGTGCCTTGATTGTTAGCGCTATGAGCATACCTAGTGTAGAGTTTGGCGCTATATAAATGGACACTTTATTATTATTATTATTATTATTATTATTATTGAGGAAGTTGATGTAATGTAATATCACATGTGCTGAAACATGTCACTCATCCCCTCACTGCATGATATACATTCGTTGTGAGATACCGCCATATAGCTGGAATATTGCTGAGTGCGGCGTAAAACTTAACTCATTCACTCACTCATTGTGAGATAACCTAACACAATACCTTATTAAAAACCTGACAGTGCTTTCATGGTCTCCGGTTGTAGGAAGTTCTTGCTCAGTGTTGTGTGGTGCTGTTGGATGTATGTGTCTTGTGACGTAGCTGGTGTTGTTGATGTAGGAGCTGATGGCAGAGAAGAACCGGAGTGTCCTGGAGAGTGAACGTGCCAACCGCAACCTTCTGCACGAGTTGAAGGAGAGGCAGAGTGGCACCGATGACATGAAGGTAGGTGGCAGGCAGTGGCAGATGTCATCGGTAGTCGTATTCAGTTTCAGAGACAGACCTTGAGGACTTAAAGTCATTTTCTTTTGTTCATTCACACAAAGCAATGTGATAATATTTACTAACAACCAGGGCCTAGATTTTCGAAGCTCTCTTAGCGCTAAGGTAGTCGTAAGTGCCATACATTAACATTAACTTACGACTATCTTAGCGCTAAGAGAGCTTCGAAAATCTAGGCCCAGAAAGATAAGTTTGATGAAAGTGCAACCTTTAGATAAGCTGACCCCTTTCTACAAACTGCTTTTTTGATCGTCAAAATTCAGCTTATCTATGGTCATGCATGGTATATATGTTTGATACAGTAAACATTCTATTGTATTTGACCTAGTTGGTAGTACAGTGTTAGTAAGATACAACAGTTCACACTTGTGTGCTTTGTTGCAGCTGTACCAGCTTCTGGCAGAGCAGCTGCAGGAGATTCGACACCTCAGTGACATGCTGCTGAAGGAGAAACAGATCTTCATCACCCTTAACCAGGAGGGTAGGACCAGCACAGCCAGGTAGGGAGACAGTGTTACATATAGGGGTGGGACAGATCTTCATCACCCTTAACCAGGAGGGTAGGACCAGCACAGCCAGGTAGGGAGACAGTGTTACATATAGGGGTGGGACAGATCTTCATCACCCTTAACCAGGAGGGTAGGACTGGCACAGCCAGGTAGGGAGACAGTGTTACATATAGGGGTGGGACAGATCTTCATCACCCTTAACCAGGAGGGTAGGACTAGCACAGCCAGGTAGGGAGACAGTGTTACATATAGGGGTGGGACAGATCTTCATCACCCTTAACCAGGAGGGTAGGACCAACACAGCCAGGTAGGGAGACAGTGTTACATATAGGGGTGGGACAGATCTTCATCACCCTTAACCAGGAGGGTAGGACCAACACAGCCAGGTAGGAGACAGTGTTACATATAGGGGTGGGACAGATCTTCATCACCCCTTAACCAGGAGGGTAGGACCAGCACAGCCAGGTAGGGAGACAGTGTTACATATAGGGGTGGGACAGATCTTTCACCCATAACCAGGAGGGTAGGACCAACACAGCCAGGTAGGGAGACAGTGTTACATATAGGGGTGGGACAGATCTTCATCACCCCTTAACCAGGAGGGTAGGACCAACACAGCCAGGTTAGGGAGACAGTGTTACATATAGGGTGGGACAGATCTTCATCACCCTTAACCAGGAGGGTAGGACCAACACAGCCAGGTAGGGAGACAGTGTTACATATAGGGGTGGGACAGATCTTCATCACCCTTAACCAGGAGGGTAGGACTAGCACAGCAAGGTAGGAGACAGTAGATCATCACCCTAGGGTGGGACCAGCACAGCCAGGTAGGGGAGACCCTTAACCAGGGGGGTGGACAGCCAGGTAGGGAGACAGTGTTACATATAGGGGTGGGACAGATCTTCATCACCCTTAACCAGGAGGGTAGGCCAAAGATCTACAGCCATGCTCCACTAGGGTCCAGATGTAACATGATGCCTCAGTGGGCTGGAGACTCAAGGGGGACCAGTCAACTGTTTTATTGCCGACTTTGACCACGAGTCGGATCAATACAGCAGATATTAAATCATTAATCAAGCTGTGATTTATGATGGTCTGGTTGTGACACATAAGACCAACATTTACAGCCAGGTAGGCGTGACACAGCATCCGTAAGCAGATATACTTCTTTGTAAAATAGTCATGGTATCAATATTTCTGATTATCTCTTCTTACGTGGCTTATAAAATATTTGTAAGAAAGCAGTCAAAGTTCCAAAATGGCTGCATTTAGTGAGGCTTTTTATGGAAAAAGAATTTTTAAATTATTTGCACTGTCTGTAGAATTACATTTACCTGCCACACAGTTTTCTTGTACCTGTAAAGTGTGCTTAATGTATTTTTATTTAAATGTCTTGAAATATGGTCACCATGACTTCCAGCTGTGTACTCATTGCCTGATATGTCTGCAACAACAAATAACTCAGTATGCCCTATAGATGTTTTTGATGATGAAAAAAATACCATCACAGCGGGAGGGTGGTATTGTGTTTTATTACCTACACAGTAGCCAACATATAGGGGGTTCATATTTTTCATACAATGCCCTAGGGCTAAATATCACTTTCATAGGGTGACGATCGCCATGGACAATGCTATGATCGCCACGCTTCTTCTGTGATACCATGTGACGGGCGGCTAGCCAGCCTTGTTTGAAAGTAGATTTGGGCTTATTTTCCCAATGTGACGACTGTAATAAACAGAATATTAGTATTGCCCATATCATACTATAAGCCATTTATTCATCACTAAATATCGGTATATCCCCGCCGCCTCTGGAAATACCAACATTTAGGCACCTGTTGTAAACAGTATGACATGGGCACTCATACTCATACCTCTACTTAATGGATATTTGTTACATTGTTTTCAGAACAATGCATTGTGAAGTGATAATGTCTTCCTACCTTTATGACATCACACAGGATTTCATGTGATATTGTTTGAGTGTGCATTATTGATGCATCCACTTCATGTTCTTTGTAGCTGTGGGTAGCCTAGTGGTTAGAGGGTTGGCTCATTACCAGGGACCGGTTCGAATCACATGGGTACACAATGTGTGAAGCCCATTTCTGGTGTCCCCCACCGTGATGTTGCTGGAATATTGCTAAAAAGCCAGCGAAAACCAAACTCAATCAGTCAGTAAGTATGTTCTTGTGCCTGCATGACAAAAGGACCATTGTAATGTTGAGACTTTCTACAAACTGCTTTTTTTGATCGTCACAAATTCAGCTTATCTATGGTCATGCATGGTATATATGTTTGATACAGTAAACATTCTATTGTATTTGACCTAGCTGGTAGTACAGTGTTAGTAAGATACAACAGTTCACACTTGTGTGCTTGATTGCAGCTGTACCAGCTTCTGGCAAGAGCAGCTGGGAGAAACAGATCTTCATCACCCTTAACCAGGAGGGTAGGACCAGCACAGCCAGGTAGGGAGACAGTGTTACATATAGGGGTGGGACAGATCTTCATCACCCTTAACCAGGAGGGTAGGACCAGCACAGCCAGGTAGGGAGACAGTGTTACATATAGGGTGGGACAGATCTTCATCACCCTTAACCAGGAGGGTAGGACCAAGCACAGCCAGGTAGGGAGACAGTGTTACATATAGGGTGGGACAGATCTTCATCACCCTTAACCTGGGAGGGTAGGACCAGCACACAGCCAGGTAGGGAGACAGTGTTACATATAGGGGTGGGACAGATCTTCATCACCCTTAACCAGGAGGGTAGGACCAACACAGCCAGGTAGGGAGACAGTGTTACATATAGGGGTGGGACAGATCTTCATCACCCTTAACAGGAGGGTAGGAGGGTAGGACCAGCACAGCCAGGTAGGGAGACAGTGTTACATATAGGGTGGGACAGATCTTCATCACCCTAACCAGGAGGGTAGGACCAACACAGCCAGGTAGGGAGACAGTGTTACATATAGGGGTGGGACAGATCTTCATCACCCTTAACCAGGAGGTGCAGGACCAACACAGCCAGGTAGGGAGACAGTGTTACATATAGGGTGGGACAGATCTTCATCACCCTTAACCAGGAGGGTAGGACCAACACAGCCAGGTAGGGAGACAGTGTTACATATAGGGGTGGGACAGATCTTCATCACCCTTTTAACCAGGAGGCAGTGGGAGTAGGACCAACACAGCCAGGTAGGGAGACAGTGTTACATATAGGGTGGGACAGATCTTCATCACCCCTTAACCAGGAGGGTAGGACCAACACAGCCAGGTAGGGAGACAGTGTTACATATAGGGGTGGGACAGATCTTCATCACCCTTAACCAGGAGGGTAGGACCAACACAGCCAGGTAGGGAGACAGTGTTACATATAGGGGTGGGACAGATCTTCATCACCCTTAACCAGGAGGGTAGGACCAACACAGCCAGGTAGGGAGACAGTGTTACATATAGGGTGGGACAGATCTTCATCACCCTTAACCAGGAGGGTAGGACCAACACAGCCAGGTAGGGAGACAGTGTTACATATAGGGGTGGAACAGATCTTCATCACCAGCACAACCAGGAGGGAGACAGTGTTACATATAAGGGGTGGGACAGATCTTCATCACCCTTAACCAGGAGGGTAGGACCAACACAGCCAGGTAGGGAGACAGTGTTACATATAGGGTGGGACAGATCTTCATCACCCTTAACCAGGAGGGTAGGACCAGCACAGCCAGGTAGGGAGACAGTGTTACATATAGGGGTGGGACAGATCTTCATCACCCTTAACCAGGAGGGTAGGACCAACACAGCCAGGTAGGGAGACAGTGTTACATATAGGGGTGGGACAGATCTTCATCACCCTTAACCGGGAGGGTAGGACCAGCACAGCCAGGTAGGGAGACAGTGTTACATATAGGGGTGGGACAGATCTTCATCACCCTTAACCAGGAGGGTAGGACCAGCACAGCCAGCAGTAGGGAGACAGGTAGGGAGACAGTGTTACATATAGGGGTGGGACAGATCTTCATCACCTTAACCTTTTGGGAGGGTAGGACCAGCACAGCCAGGTAGGGAGACAGTGTTACATATAGGGGTGGGACAGATCTTCATCACCCTTAACCAGGAGGGTAGGACCAGCACAGCCAGGTAGGGAGACAGTGTTACATATAGGGGTGGAACAGATCTTCATCACCCTTAACCAGGAGGGTAGGACCAGCACAGCCAGGTAGGAGACAGTGTTACATATAGGGGTGGGACAGATCTTCATCACCCTTAACCAGGAGGGGAGACAGTGTTACATATAAGGGTGGGACAGATCTTCATCATACTTAACCAGGAGGGTAGGACTGGCACAACCAGGTAGGGAGACAGTGTTACATATAGGGGTGGGACAGATCTTCATCACCCTTAGGACCAGCACAGCCAGGTAGGGAGACAGTGTTACATATAGGGGTGGGACAGATCTTCATCACCCTTAACAAGGAGGGTAGGACTGGCACAACCAGGTAGGGAGACAGTGTTACATATAGGGGTGGGACAGATCTTCATCACCCTTAACCAGGAGGGTAGGACCAGCACAGCCAGGTAGGGAGACAGTGTTACATATAGGGGTGGAACAGATCTTCATCATCCTTACAGATCTTCATCATCCAACCAGGAGGGGAGACAGTGTTATATATAGGGTGGGACAGATCTTCATCACCCTTAAGGAGGGGAGGGTAGGACTAACACAGAGTTACATGTAGGGAGACAGTAGATCATCACCCTTATGTGGGGAGGTTAGGACTAGCACAGCCAGGTAGGGAGACAGTGTTACATAGGGTGGGACAGATCTTCATCCTTACGCGGGAGGTTAGGACCAGCACAGCCAGGTAGGGAGACAGTGTTACATATTGGGGTGGGACAGATCTTCATCACCCTTAACCAGGAGGTTAGGACTGCCACAACCAGCTAGGGCTACCCATGTTGAATGTGTGGGGTCACATATCCTGGGA